TCTTGTTGTTGGTTATGAACCTTATTGGCTGACCCTTCAGTGCACGCGGTTTACAGTAGGGCCCAAAGTCCGAAATGTAAATCCTTACATGTCCAACTCAGCTGCCGTAACCACCACGTAAGCTTGGAGGAACTCGTGGAGCTCTGCTGCTAAATGCTTACAACTGGCCACGTGCAGTATGGACTAAGCCTCAAGCGCAGCAAAGGGTAACAAAGAGGTCATAGACAAGCAAGACATACCTGAGTATTCACAAATGTCACATGCTTCTGTCATGCAGGCTTTCTGACAAGCGCTCTCAGAGCATGCCTCCTGGCTCAGGCCCCAGGGCAGCAACCTGTGTGGCAATGCTAACCTGCTTCTGCAGGATAGCTCTGTGCCCCAAAACGCCGCAAATGTAGAAAAACTAGGTTTAAGCCCTACCCCAGGAGAGTAGTTTAACCACTGAGTTCTTTGCAGACTTAAAACACTTCCATTTTGCAGGATAATAATAATAAATAAATACTTAAGTTGCTACTGGAGAAGTACTAACCCTCTCCACCTCCTCCCTCAGCACCTACAGAATAAGTGCCTTACACAGGCCTACTGGGAACTGAACGCTGCTCTTCCCTTGCTTAAGAAAGCTTGCAAAGGAGGAGGACAAATTACTGAACTAATGACTACACAGTTGATTTTTCAGCGTCTCTAGAGTTAGGTTTAACTTGCAATAAAATAGCAGATTGCAACTACCCTCATAATACCAGCAGTTTGTGAGCAAGTCACAGAAGAATTGAGAGAATTTCAAAATGCAAGGTTCTATCTTTGAGTGATGGCAGTTATTTAACTTTTTGAGCAAAAATTATGAAACATTAAAAAAAAAAAAAAAGGAAAGAGACAAGGTTCAAAGTTCAGTTTTTCACAGTGACTCTGTGTGTGTGTATGTGTATGCATATATATGTGGGTGTATATATATATATATAAATAAATATAAAAAATACGCACTGAAGTCTACCAGCACTTCCAGCATCCTTCCCCCCGCCCCTTCCCTAGGGAAAGCATCTGAAACTAAATTGTGAGTAATGCTCTCAATTCTCGTTCTCCTTTCCCTCCAATAAAACGTCACAGAGTGCAAGCAGAGTTCAAACCCAAAGGCCACAAAGCTCAAGATAGCACTTTGTATGCGAAATCTAAAGTTTTCTAGCTATTAATGGTACCTGACACAGGTGCTGCTAGATTGGGGCTTGTTATACACTTTAGGAGCCCTTTCAAAGTATTTTGTCATTGAAGAGTGTTTTTTCACAAACTATTTAGGGTTCAGCATTTACTTCCTTTTTCTGTGTTTCACTGTATAACTCACCTTCCCAAAAAAACTCCCCAAACCAACCAGCAAAAAAAAGTAGCGCATAAGTCTAACTGTAACTTGATAAAGTGCAAGTTACCTGGGAAAACAATTAACCAAAGCCTAGCTCATAAAAGAACAACTTATGACTACAGTATTTCAAAAAAAAAAAAAAATCCTTAAAAAAAAAAAAGTTTGATTTAACTTTAAAACAAATCCATGGCGTCCTGAGTCTATTACTGACCTTGTAAAACAAAGTTGATTCTTTTCCAATAGCGATGTAAAACATTTTATATTTTTATATATATATGTGTGTGTGTGTGTGATAATTTATATATTACAGGCTTACCCACTTGCAAAACAACCACTTTGTCTGGCAATATCAGTATTAAGTATTCTTTAAAACACTTTGATCCTACTCAATGTACAAAAATAAATATTGTAGAAATTACTTCCAAGCAAAATAAGAAGCACCAGTCACTAAACTGCGAGCATAGTTAGTAATAGCCCATGCTACATAATGGGAGTGTTTTAATTAACAGAAGCTACTCAGAATCAGCTCTGTTCCACATACTGTAGCCATGGGTCGCTGCATCCAGGCTGTCTTTTACTTTAACCTTTTCAGTTTAAAATGCCTAGTACCCTCACTTATTCTGCATGTGTAAATCTATCTGGCTGAAGGCGACAGGAATACAGAATATATGAACGCTGTGTGAGTTTTGCTTCCTAGTTTGGAAACAAATCTCACTAGTACTAATCTATTTTAAAACCACCGTTGTAAAAGCTGACCTGATCTGGTCACTCTCCTTCCATTAATTCCCTGTATTTGACACAAATTCATTACTAGGCAGTGCATCTATAGACTCAAGGTGCTGTGCATGTTTCCGTAATTCAAGACTTTGGCAGGCTTATTCATAATTATAATTATACTTGAAATTTAAATGCTTTGCTGGATTGGGGCCAAAGTGACATCTTGCATGACTGGATGCCAAAATGTGAAAACATAAAACTCTGAAATGTGAAGAACTGTACTGCTTGGCATGCACTGCTCAAACCTGGCACCCAGACAGCTTTTCGTATACGTTCCTCCATGTAGCAGAAGGTTGAGAGACTGTCCATCCCGCTCCCTCTCCAGGTTATGCTTCAAGAGCAGAGCTCTTAGAAGTTTTCTGGTTTCCTTTACAAACAAACCAGATCTTGCACACATCCGATGATGTAAATGTGTGTTGTTCTGCTGAGTTTCTATGGGGGGGGGGGAGAGAGAGAAAGAGATTGCTCCTGCTGTTCATGCCCTACCTCAGGGAAAGCCTCTGTGTGCAACCACGGCCTGATTCGAGCTGTTCGTGCCAGTAGCTCCTTGTGAACTTGCCTCTCCTTGCAGCATACTTCTACGTTGCTATAAATCCCTGTTTTTTCTGAGAGATAAGGGAGAGATTTGGGAGACTACAAAAGCATAATGTCTGTGTTATTTACTGTATGTCAAACCAGGTTAACAAGACACCAGAGTTATTGCTGTGACAAATTATTGCAACAAGGAAGTGTCACGTGAACAGATGATAAAAGGACGTGGCAGGGATAAAGTACTTTTAAATAAAACTTTTTCCATGGAGAAAAGACAGACATTAAGAAAAGTGTATGCATTGGTCTAAGCCACAGGTGGTGAGAACATTTTGCATGATTTGCTGCAGAAAACAGTGAGGAAACTTGGGTTTTTAATCCCTTCAGATACATCTACATACCAGAGTCACTAGGTTATAAGTAACAAAAAGAGAAAAATCAGTTTTTCAAAGGCGCTTCCGAAACGTAAGCAAGTCCTGAGAATGTAGGAGAAGGTTGAACGTTCATGCAAACGTTTTCCTCCAGTTAAGCTTTCTTGACTCTACACATGTGGCAGCATAACCCAGTGCTATGACATAAATACCAACAAGAGACACACTGTTTTTAGTATTACATGTTGTGAAAGTCTTTTTGTTTTGTTTATGGGGGACAGTGTTGTAAATACCGCATCTGTTGTATTTCTTGGCAGTGGCAAATTGCAGATGCTTCCTTCACAGCAGGAAGTACAGATCTGAAAGAAATAAGGCGTTAACTCAGTTATTGTTTGGAAAAAAACACCAATGCTATTGAATAAAGATGTAGTGGAAATAATATGCCACTTGCAAATCAGCAGTGGCCACCTTTTTATTTATTTATTTTTAAATCCATCAATTTGGACAACAAGTAAACAAGTACTTCCACCTGTACAGGCTCTGACCACTGGTGTCCCACTCTTGCCTGAAGTGCTAGAGATTATTGTGCTAGAATAACGCCAGGGTGAGGTTACAATCCTCTGTCCTCGTTCTGGTCAGGCTGAAGACTCTGAGTTTGTTCACCAGCCTGGGGTATCAAGGGAAAACTGGGGCAGGAGGGAAGAAGTTGCACTATCAGAAGCTTTTTTTAGGTCAGATTTTTGTCTAGTACAAGGCGAACATCCATTTTGAAGCAGTCATCTTCTTTTTACCCCCAAAAAAGTAAATGGACAAAAAAAATTTCTGTTTCGTTCAAGTAGAGCTCCCAGTCCAGAAGGCAATGAAATCAGTATTTATTTATGTAGGCTTTTTTGTTGCCCATCACCTAGTATCTAGGCACCAGGCTGGTATACAATTCTTGTATCCATCTGGAAGTGCTATTTAGAGATCTACTACAATATTCTAGCAGAGCGCATGAGTTTTAGAGCAACAAGACTACTAATGTGCCTAAGACTAAGAAGGCACTTAACTTAACTAAACTAAACTTAACTAAAGTTTAAACTAAACTAAAGTTAAGTATGTGCTTTTGTTTGTAAGACAAACTGTGGTTCTGCAAAATTTCATTTTTCTCTCTAAGTAGTTGGGGGAAAAAATGCAGCAGCTGCCATTGTCATTCCCATTTTTCCCAGTTTATGTTAGGACTGGGAACGGAGATGACTTGCTGACTGCCAGCCGGCAAAGGTGCCCATGCGAGTTTGGTTCCTGCAGGCGCTGGAGCGCTGCGGAGCGGAAAGGGGGAGCGTGCAAGGCTGACACGGCTACGTTCTGCCTTCCCTAGATGACAAGGGCGCTGCTGGTTTTGCACAAAGTCCTCTGCTGCTGCTCCCCATTATGAAGGGACACAGCAGTTGCTCTAGAACGATGTTGCTGAGCTTTGTGGAGCCTCCATAAAGTACACTAATGGCCCCAACATACAAAAATACAAAAAGGAATGCAGTTTCCCCGGTAATTCAGAAAGTTATTTATTTTAACCGGTTGGGTATGTTCAAAAAGGTTGACTATTAACCTTAAAAAAACAAAAAACAACAAAAAAAAACCCTTTTAAAATATCCATTCCATTCAGATAAAAAGTGTCTATTGTTAAGGTTTCAGGGTTCCCCCCCGCCCATTTCAATAAGAAAAGCAACAGATTGTCAGTAGGCATCAGTTACAGAATAATGCTGAATAGACACTGGAATAAACAAGGTATAATATTAAAGGCAAAACAGTTCTCAAATAGAAGAGAGTGTTTTTTTTTCCCCTCTAAGGTGCTGGCAGGACAGTTGCTTAAAGAGAGTATTTTTGCTAGGAGAGGTTATTCCTTTGCTTCCATAAATACAGTGCTAGAGCTCATTAAGAACATAAATTCCTTTTTTGAGAAGGAATGGTGATGGATCAAGTGGAGCAAGTCACACTTCTGGCTAATTCTGCCCAGCTTTATACTAGCAAAAAAAGTTTTTTTTTTTTCATTCTAACCTTGTATTCTTCATGTTTTACATATGTGCATCCAGTAGACAGACAGTCCTCTAATGGTACACAACGTTTGGTGACGGATACACTTTCTCCAGTAACTTTCATTATGTGTTGGCTAAAGCAGTATCGTGTACCTAGAAAGACAGAAAATTATGTTTTCCCAGTAAATTCAAACTTGGTGATATTCTACAAATAGTAAAGAAATACAAAAGAAATCTTAAGCTTTCAGCAGAAAAAAAAAAGGAAGAATTTTGATGGGTGTGCAAGTACGTATAACTAAATACATACCTGCACCCGTGCACACGCACCCACCCCTACCTGGAACTGGTAGTCCCAGTACTAATGTGGGTTTGTATCTTACAGATAAACTAAACAACGTGTGCGTGCGCGCACCCACCCACCCACCAGACAATCACATTATGGAGTAAGGTGCAGATAAACCTCTAAAGCCTTGTATGCCATTAGTTTTATAAGAATTACCTTCAGAAATGAAAGCCTGCAGTATCTGTTCACATCTGAAGCTTTCATGCTTCTCACATTTATATGGGTTTAAATTCCTTCTAGCTTCACGTACAACCACTAAGTCCTAGAAGTACTTAACACACTGTAAACTGGAGATCCCCGTTCCCTTTATTTTAATGGGCTGTGCAAGTTGTCCTCAATGTCTGCACGCTAACCCTGGCTCGCTGAGAGCGTCCTGCCTAGCCCTGAGTTGATCATTCGGCCTCTCTATCCCTCAATTTATCATTCTTAAAATAGTAGTAAAAGACTAGCAAAACAGTTGGGACGGTTGATGTGGCGCTCAGTTTCACAGTCGTCTGAACAGGAGCCCTCCTGCTGTGACCGTGCCCCCGTTGCTGCCGCTGCATCTTAACGTCTGCGGCTCCTGCAGCCGCCCTAGGCCCAAAGGGAGCCCCCCCTGCTCCCCTGAAACCACGGCCCTAGGGACCCCGGCAAAACTCGCAGGAGACTCAGATCGGTATGAGCACCAAGTACTGTGGTTGCCCACCGGCTGAGAGGAATTTGGTTTTATTTCATTCTTTAGTTTTTCGGCGGGAACGTGAAGGTGCTGTTCCCCCACCACCTTCCCGGCGCTGGAGCCTGAAAACACGGTGCTTTTCGAGACAGGAAACGTTCCAGTCTATACCGCTTCTTAATTGTATACCTTGTTTCCTATTAATCAGCATTATTATTGATGAAACTGTTGCTTTGACAGGGGGAAAAAAAGAAAAAAAAAAAGAGTGTCATTAATTCAGAGTGACCCGTCCTGTTCGGCGACTGTCCCTCACAGGCAGAGCCCTGCATACCTCTCGTGTTTGAGGCGTTCGGCAACAGCAGAGGGAGACTGCCGAATGAACACGTTAGTCACTAGGCAGTAAAAACCCTCAGACATCTGTCGTATCTCTGACCGGCTCTTAACTCAAGCCCGATGACCACAGCAAACAGACTTGACTTAACCATCAGAGGTTTGAAATGCGCAGTGTCCTGCCTCCTTTCAAATGCGCGACGGCTACAGCACAGAGCACTTAATGTGCGCGCCAGGCTTTCCCACCCAGGGGTTAGGCTCACGCTTCTACCCGAAGGAGACAAATAGGGCTGGTGACGCTGAGCCTCCCCTAGGCTTTTGACTCAAAGTAGCATTTACTAGCCGTACAGCCACTGCTGAGGTTGTATCACTAAAATCACTAAAACCTTTTTTCCTCCCCTGTGGTGGTCTGCAGACTCTGGACGCCGTGTCACTACAGTGGTGCTCGCCCTGGACGGTCCCAGCTGAAACAAACGCAGCCTCTAGCACCCCACAGCTCTCTCAAAGTGGTTTCTTTCTTGTTTGCAAGGTTATTTAGGCTAAAAAAACCCCAACGTCTATTTTAGAAAATACAGTTCAATCATCTTGGAGATCTGTATTTTTCCCCCTCGCGAAAACTGGCACGCCGCTCTTCATACCGAGTTGATGACCACCTCCTGCAAGACCGGCAGTAACTGCAGGAGTGCACCTACAGAATAAGCTCCACAGCAAGCAACAAGACCCACTTGTTCTAATGGATAACAAGCTGCCACTGGCTCCCCAAAGGCCACTTGGGAAACATGTTAATCCTACAGAGGAGACGTGCTGCAGCTCCACTGCCTACCAGTGAAGGCCTCCTGCCTTCACTGTGTACCAGGCAAGATTTAAGCCCAGGTAAAACGGAAGCAGACTTTTGCTACCCTGGCAGAAAAAACTGCCATCAAGGCTATCCCGTTTTGCGCTGCGTTCTGGTCTTTCCAGCCTGCCTCTTTTCTCAACGGTCTGAGCACAGTGATGACAGCTGAGATGAAAAGAAACTGTCTTGAGAGCCCCGAGACAGCCCAGGGCGAAGAAGAGGTGAGGGAAAGAGGCAAGTCTAACCTTTAATTACTGCTCTGGAGCTGGTGAGGCTGCCTGGGGGGCTCCAAGCTGACCCTAAGAAGCAGATGGGCCCATCAACTGTAAAACTTTTAACTAAAATAGTACAGAAATTTAGAGCATTGTAGCGTTAGATGCTTCTGAGTATTGCAGTGCCCAAGCCAGGCGGGAATTCTGCTGCAGAGTTCAGGATAGACTATTACTCTCTTTTTCCTCTGTTCAATTGCAATTTCCTCTTCAAAAGTCTTTCTATGCAGGATGGAGGAAGATAACTGCCAGCTTAAACCTGGCCTCTGTGCTATCAATCATACCAAAGACTCAGGGATTTATTTTTCCTTTGCAGTGTTTCTCTAGCAGCCCTTCAGAGGCGGGCTGATTGTGCTGTTATACTTACGGCTGTCCAACACTTTCCGTTAGCAGAGCATTTGAAAATGAGATTATAGCTCTATGCAATTTGGGAGGGGATGTAAACATAATTTATAGCTTGCTGTTCAAGACTATAGGTTTGCTGTTATACCCATTTCTTCTTCCCCTACTCCTGTCACACTGCACTGAAATGCCAACAGGCTGATGACAGACAGACGTTAAATTTTCAGGGTTGTCAATTTACGCTGCCCAGGAGGAAAACTGGCTTTGCGAGCTTCGGGCACTGGTCACCTGGCCAGAGAAGTGATTTATCTCAGAAAGGCAGCGAGTTTCCCTGATGCACAAAACTGTTTTCCATTAGCTGCTTTAAAGCAAGGAGGAGAAGGAAAGGACAGCCGGCCGCAGGCAGGCAGGGGCGAGAGGAGGCTCCGTGCGCCAGAGACACCAACGCCGGCAGCTCAGCACCCAGAACGACGGTTTGAAACAGCTCCGTAAATCAGATTCCCAGCAACCCCCGCCTAACCGTGACAACGTATGTCGTCTTTGGTGTTTCTCTTTCAGCTGCGTAAACTACTACAGCGAGAGAGGTGGTGGTGCGACCTCTCGCAAAGACTGTGCGATGTGCTTCAGCTGTGAGGTAGCCCCCAAAAAACTGTACAGAATAGACCGTCCCAGCCTAGGCTGCCAGAAGTCATGCTGACCTGCAGCAAAACCCAAGAGCGTCAGCGCACCCGCTCCCTGCGGTCCACCTCCTGGGCATCCTACCACAGCATTTCGGGGGAGCATGCCTGGAGCAAAGGGCTACAGAAACGAGGAGTCGTGTCACAGGCAGAAACCCAGACCCACGTGCTGAGACGCGGCAGGCCTGGTACGCGTCCAGCAGCAGAGATTTGACCTCTCTGCCTTAAACCGGATACTGGAACACTGAATCTGGTATTTGCAATGGCTCAAAGTCGCACATTGACTTTTGAGAGCCGACTTCCCTAACTGAAGCCTCTAGCAGCTTTTTTCAGCGTACAGTAGCTGGAACTTTGCCACTACTTTAGCAGCAATCATCCATTTCATGAGTTGTCAGTCTGCCTACAGCCATCCAAAAATAGAGTATTGGGAGTATTTTAAGTGCAGTATTTCCATACAAATTAGATCACTAACAGTCTCTGCTTGAGAGGAACATAATAAATAGAAGAAAACAAGTTTAATGCACAGCAGGAAGTCTGCCTTCTAGGAAATGCCTTTTCTCATGTCCGTTCAATAGAGGGATTAATGTTTTAACTCTTTATTTTAATAAATTTTGTCATACAAGAAAATGGGCTTCCCTTTAGTAAGTCCTACTTAATAGTTTACTGGCAATATTTTGTTTTGTTTCTTTTTAATAACATCCGGGTTAAAAAAAACTATAGCAAATGTCAGGATGAAATTTTCTTGTCTTCCACTCCCACCTAACACAAGCAAATCGACAAGGTTTGAGATCAGTGCCGCGAGGGAGGCAACACCATAACGTACCCACCCGACTCCCAGAGATGAGATAATTACCTGTGTCAATAACCTCAGGCCTCCAGAGCGCTCCTGGAGTCATATTTCAAATCTGAGGTTATATTTATGAGGCTTCCTTACCAGAACTTGAAATTGCTTTTGAAAATTAAAGCAACAAAGAAAAAGTAGGCTTAGTAAGCAACTTTCTTACGTTCAAGTATATTAGCTTGTAAAGCTAAGAGATAAAAACAAAAGCTCTCACTGATTTGGCATCCAGAAGGAATGACTTCTGTGGAGTATGAACAGAGCAAACTATCAGCCTGCTTCTGGTTTTACTTCCGTTGCGAAAGAAAAGCCAAATAGGACAGAGCATTAAGCCACAGCAGCCTGTTCCCTTTCCCCAGCTCCCCGTTCACTTAAAACGGTAACACTGACTCAGCAGTTACTCCTTAATTACAACGGACCATTAGGACCAACAAATTTCCATCCACTTAAAACCATTTTTAAGTAACAACAAACATAATTCTCCCCTTTGTTAAGTAAAATCATGCAGCGTGCATGCTCTGAATGCTTTTATGGTCAGCCTCTTCCTTCATATCTATTCCAAAAACCCTGGGTTTAAGTTTGCCATTAGGCATATTTGAAGCCAGTCTGACCACAGAGCGCTCCAAGAGAAAGAGCAACATGCCCTGGCTTTTACAATGAGATTTGCTCCACGGGAGGAACGTGCCTGACCTGACACGAAGCTGGGGTTATTCAGTGGGTGCCCTGTAAAGCCTTCCCACGCGCAGGCGGGCGCTGGCAAGCAGAGCGTGACGTGCTCTGCTGCCGCTCGCTGTGACCGAACGCCTGCGGCCAGGTTGGTGGCTGCGCGGCAGAGCCCGGACACGCGGCTTCGGTCGCACCCCGACAGCCGGAAAGCAGGGGCGCGCAGTGGATCTGTGCGCCGGACACCTCTGCAGTCCAGCCCCAGGGTACAGGGCGTCTGGACACTCCCAGCACTACAAACACACTGTGCCTTGAGTAAAAACGTTACCCGATACCACTAGTTGAAGGAGATAAGAAGTCCTTTGTTATAAAGATTAAAGATAGATTCAGGTTTCTAACTAGCCTGTTGTCCTCTCTAAAATCCTGTATTTTCTGAAACTACAGTAAGGGAAACGCAAGCATTTGTTCTTATTTGTATCTATAGGTAGACGAGCTAGTGACAGCAACTAGTGGCTCTGGTCTGTATGAGCGCAGCTGATGAATTAGAGACTCGCCAAAACATGCTTTTCCCCTTCCCTAGACAGCCATTAAGTACAAACGTCTCTTTTTCCAAATTAGCATTTTCTTGTCAAGTCAGTTTGGTTGGTTATTACTAAGTGCAGACCTTGGAGTTACTCTTGTCTCCTTAAATAGCAATCTACAGAGTCAGTAACATCATCATTGCTCATTTAAAATATCTTTTATTCCTCTCAAAAGAGGGAGGTTCTATGAACATTGGTCTGATTTGATGATTAGGAGATGCACACAGAGCAACACGAGGAAGCGAATGAGGAGAAGCGACCACAGCCCAGGCAGGAAGCCACGGAGAGTGGCTCCTTGCAAAAAATTCAAATGCAGCAAAACTCAAATATGTCTATATCTGGGATTTAGCTTTTTAGGGGTTTAAGGAAGCACTCAGTGGTAAGACAACCTTAATGCCTTTTGTGTTTCTCAAAAACATAGGTGGCAAGAGAGCAGGAGATTTGAGGATCTCACTCATATCTAGATGTTGGATATAGGCACCTAAAGGCCTTTTAGGGTTACCCCCACCTTGGGATTCTGCTTGGAGTTACGAACCTAAACGACTGAAAAGATATAGATGCTGGCTGAAAAGAGGTAGTTTCAGTAGCACCGGCATGGGTTCCTGAAGTATGGCCTTGTGCCATAACTGGAGGGATGCAAGAACCGGTCCAGTACTCACCAGTAAGAAATATAAACCTTAAATAAACGTCAGACTGATTTAATTTCTGACTGAGCAAGAGGAATACATGGAGTAGACGGAAGTTCTAAACTACATCCACTGCAAAGAGATACAAAAGCTTAAAGGATTATTTGTATCACTTACACATCTTTCTTGCTGAAGAGGTTTACAAATGCGAATAGCAATCCCCAGTGTCCAAGTACTCCTGAGGAATAATGGGAGCTCAGTGCTGTCCACTCAGTGGAGATATTGAAAAGTTCCCCCAAGGTAGGCTTAACTGAAATGCTAACATGTAGCTCGTTACCTCTTGGACAATAGACATCCGGAGCCCATCGGTTGCATTCATAATTATCTGCTGCCTTTTCACAGGTAAAACATTTAAATCCATGAGGATATGGTGTGGCTGAAAGGAATAAACAACATTCAGTTAAAATGATCCCCTTAATCAGCTCCTACTCTGCTTTTCAAAGGTACATAGCAATATTTTTTCTCCTTACATATATCTTACTAGAAATATACCTGCCAATTTCATTGAAACTTGGTCTTGATTATTAAACATCCTATCACTAATAGCAACGCAGGGGAAGACGTGTAAGTACACAATAAGGACTCAATTCAACTGTATTTACCAAGTAAAAGTGCCTACCACTGACTTCAAAGGCAGTTAACGTGAACAAAAGTAAGCCCATTTCTTTCTTAGCATCACAGCTCGTGTCCAATACTGTTACTTTATCAGTGCTGATAACAAAACATCAGATGGATTAAATACTCCTGGAACCTGTCCCACTGAAGAAATGAACTAGCACTTTTGAATGCAGACTGATGTCCCTAAAGGAAAGAAAAATCAATTTACTGAACCTCCACTTATTAACCGGAGACTCAGGTCTAATTTATCTAGCCAAACGAAGAACGTAACATTTTAAGTGGTCTCTTGGCAGGTCTTCTGTAACACATTTAATAAGTTCTTCAAGGTGCAGTAAATTGAACCTCAGCAGCTTTGTGAGCCACAGGTCACTTGTCTCCCCTCTCAACCTCTTCTTTCCCACTTCCAGAGCCCAGCAGCTGCCCCATCAGCCCTGGGCTAGACCACGCTCAGGTACCAGAGGAGGGTTTTGCTGCTTGTGAACTTTCCCTATTCTCCCAGTCTCCTCGAGTAAAGCTAGTAAGTCAGATGGAAGCACCTTTGGTGGGTTTGATGCTGCCCTAATGGACCAGTTTGGGCGCGCCACACAATTAAAGCACTAATTAAAGTCACCCATCTAGCCCTGGAAAACTAGCAGGTCATGGTATTCTCCATCATACGGGACAGCAATTGCCCCGCCTCAGAGATAGGAGAAGCAGACCATGTTTCCTCTAAACAGTAAACGATGCATGTGTGTGATATGAGAGACATTGTACGAGAACGTGCTGTGCCATTTTTTACCCGATGTGCCAGCCTTTCAGAATTTACATTTGTGTAACTCCATTCTTTTTTTTTTTTTTTTTTGTTAAGGGGCAAGTCTTCACAGTTCGTATTTGCTTTTTCATTAAATTTCATGTAGTGTTTGGGGAGCAACTAAGTAGATTTCGCATATGCTACAGACCAACCAGCTAGTAAGCTTTAGCATATTAAACACTAGTAACACGAAAAACAGCATGGCAACATGAATAGCATACGTAGTTAAACACAAGAACAGATCACAGTATAAACTTAGCTTAGCTCTAGTTATGCTAAGAGGAAAGACGACCAGAAGAACCCTAGAGATGAGAAAGTTCAGGCTTTCTAGGGGCAGAGGTCAGATCTGTGTCTGATTCGTATTGCACTCCCTGACTTTCTTGGTTCCCAGAAGCCAAGTCGTTAGTGGGGTCAGTAGTGGATGGGGAAGTACTCATGTCACCATGGAGGAGCTCATCTGGAGACAAGCTGGAAAAGGGGATTGGTTTGAGAAGCAGATTTAAGAAGAGTTTCAGTGAGGTTTTCCCTGAACAGACTACCCAGAAAAACACTGGGCTAAATGCTCATCTTTGGGGACCAGCCACAATTGACTGACTAGATCTGACTTTAAAATATAAAGTTTTCCAGTTTCTTTCAATAGGGTTTTTTTCCCACCCCGCAGAGTTTTACTTATACAATGCAAGTCTGTCTAATACCACAGGACAGGGGAATTAATAATTCCATCGATTCAGGCCGCCCAGCCTAGAGCGAGGTACTTCAAAACACTTTCAGTGATTCCTCCTCCTTGTTCTACGGCCTGCATCAAAGCATGTATGTCTGAAACATCATTTGTTATGACATAAAACTCAAAATTGGTCTTGCTAGGAGAGAATATCATTTTTTCAGCCAAATTCTGAAAGACCGTAAGCTTTCTCTAGGAACAGACGGTGGGCACAGCTTTGTATGTACGCTTTTCTTGTAAAATTATACGTCTTCATATCTGATAAAGTGAAACAACTAGCAAAAGTAGAATCCATGGAAGATCTTAAGATGTGTAACGTTACTGTGTTATTACTTCAGCGAGTTACTGAAATAGCCACCAACAGCTGGTGCCACAGCTGGGAATGAACTGTGTTTGGACCCTGCTCACAGACAGCGATGCGCTCCTGTTGGCTGTGCTGCTGTGGCACTCGGGCCTTTGGGTCAGAACGATCCTTAGGAAAAGCGAGCAAACAAAAAAAACCTCTGGCACACTCGGCACCTGTCTGTAACAGCATCTGTCCATTAACCCCTTTGGGAAGTAATGCTCCATCTTATATCAATTCAGTTTTAAGACTACAGTGGATATTTTTTTAATCTTTGTTCAGCATTCAGCTCAGCCCTCTGACGTTTCTGCTCTCTTGTTACGATATTTGTCCTCACGGAAAACCTAATGCCTCACGGCTTCCTGTGTTCTTATAATCTACGCAAACATGTCTTACTTGAAGGATGAAGATAGATGATGTCTTTCACTGTGAAGTCTCTGGGCTGAACAGCTTTCAGGCAGTCAGCAACGAGGCCGAGTAGCAGGACCCAGGCCAGCGTAGGCTGGGAGTCCATTGCCAAGAGAGGTCTCACTCATGCGGCTTCCCCGGGACCAAGTTACTTCCAGATGCGGAAGAAAAATTCACCTATATGAGAACCAAAAAATGAAAGTGAGCATAGTACAGGGGCTAATGTGACAGCTAAGCCAAGGCCAGTGACCCCCTCAGCGCACACCTCCAGCAACCACCCTTGGCAACAAGGACTTCAGCCGCCCTGGAGAGCGGGGCCCCGCCGGACGGGCTGCAGGCCGGCCCAGCGCAACCCGCAGCGAACGCAGCGCGCCAGGCCAGGAGCTCCCCGAGGGGCTGGGGAAAAGCGCTCTGCCCAGCCTTGTCACAGCCAGGTAAAGCTGCCAAAAGTAAGTTTAGGCTGAGCGGAGGGGAAAGGTATCCGGATTCGTTGCTGGAAAGGGAATTGTTCAGAATTTAATCAGTCGCTCTGTCGGCGAGTGTTTTTCGCAAACCCAAGCGGGGCGCTGTCACGAGAGACGTGCCACTCAGCGAAGGAAACCAACTCCAGCAGAAACCAACGCTCGCTGGGATGCCTTTCGGGAAGCCCCCCAAGACCAGCGTTGGGGAGCGTTTGAAGCCGTGCTGCCAGGCCGCTGGGAGCACCAGTCCATACGCAGCTCGCATCGTTGCTGCTCTTCTCATGTGACAGTAGCCACAGCTGGGGCAGAAACCCCCTCTGCTGTCAGCCTCAAAGCTCGTTCGCAGATGAGACACTTAAATATTGCTTAAGAGAAATGGCTTACAAATCACCCTGAAAATAAGCTCCTGCTCCAGACTGGTCACCCACCAGTGGCCTGGGGGTATGCGTGCATACGTGCGCTTTTTAAATAAAACCGCTGCACAGATTTTTTTTTTTCCCCCTTCACAATTTACATACAGACTGACCACGAGAGCTGCCGTACACAGATATTCCCTAAGCAGCTTTGAAAGCATGACAGCTATTATTTAACATGTTAAGCATTTTTGCATGAAAGAAGTTTCAGGGGTTGTGATGTAATTTGCTGTTTTTCCCTCTAAATGTTTGTCTTGCGACAGAATATGGTATTCACTAGAGACGTGCCCAGGACTGACGGTGCGATGGCTATCTGAGGGCCTGTCGCTACGATTGGCTCGTATCTGAAAACGGCCCTTTTATTAAAACACCATGAAATCCATAAAAATAGCGAGAGGAAACAGATAACACGTAGTGTGGTGCACTAACCTTTGTTGTTTTAACCTTACAAAGAGAAAAATGCCAATTTCCATTGGTTTTACTCCACAGATGTGCATAAGCCAGGGGAAAATGAAATCATGATTAGAAGCAGAAAGGAAATCAGACAAGCCTCTCCCAGCCGCAGGAAAGAGAAAAGGAACAGAAACAGTTGCACTTGGTGCGCTCTGGGAGAACAGCCCCTAGCAAAGCTAGCGAGAGCCCCAGCCCAGCCCAGCGGCTCGTCCAGCGTAGACTAAGGACCTGCCGCATCTTCAGAGATCCTCCTGGGTAAAAACACATCAGCCTGGAGCTTCACTGGCCAACTGCTGACGCTGCCCAGAAGGGCTCGAGTCAAGGCAAACGAGGGCAGGGAGCCATCGGCTGCCCAACCAGTGGCAGCGGATAGAGCAACTCCAGCCTGGGAGTATTTGCTTTGAGGCACATCTAGCTAGCTAGCTACGTATATATGGAATAGAAATCACACACACCTTTCAGCAAAACGAAACAAAATTTGTTTAGACCCCTTAACCAAATTTGACGTTTCCTGCACAACGGGAGAGGCGTCCATGCCAGCACACGCACCATCAGCCTGCCTCCGTGCCCGCTGAGCAGAGACACTCAATGGCAACCGCTTGTTCACATGTGGAAATCGCTCAGGATTCATGCTGTTGAATAACGAAGATTATGAGTCTTGCTTTGTTTTGGATCTGGAGGGTTTTTTTTTTTTTTTTTTTTTTTTCCCCAAACAAAACATGGCAGACTTTGTGAACCTCGTTATTCATTTCAGGAAATCAGTGAGCTACACTGAAACTCTTCGTTGGTTCCCGTGGTATCAGCAGCAACAGTGCGTTACTTGTACACAAAATTCAGCACTAACTCTAATAAAATGCACAGAAAGTAGCTTTGGTCGGAAATCTGCATACTCAGTATTTTACAAATACTTTGCATATGTGCACCCAGGGGTACACATGCAGATAAACATACAGATAACAGTTCTGCCTTCCACATACAGCAAAATACATGTACAAATAGGCTCCTCCTCACTGAGGAAACATTTGCTGATGTTTAAGGTAATGCTGAAATTACAGTCAGTGGAGATCAACAACTATTTTGAATAAAATCAAACCTATTCAGTAATTACTGTTCAATCTACTCATTCTCTCTGTTTTTATGCAAACACATAAAAATTAAACACAAAAAGTGATCACGTTTTAAGGAAAGGCGTAACTGTCATCACAGATGTGACTGACTTAAGTAAAAGCTGCAGACTTTTGACAGAAAAAAGTTTCCAGCTATGCTTTTCCTCTCCAAAATGGTATTTTTCTAGAAAGACAGCTTCTCTTCATAAACCATGTCAGCCCTAAAAGCTTCATTAAGGATCTGAAGACTTTCTTTCCCAGACAAGACCATTTAGTTTACAGTTTTCAGCCAAAAACACCAAATGCTGCACACAAATATTTTTTCAAAGAGGTATTGTTGATGTAACAGGCACTATCGCGCTAAACGAGGGTTGGCAGAACAGATCTATTCTTCAGAGCATGGTAACGCATTTTCCTTCTGAATTAACTCTTGTTCCTTTCTAAACTTTACTAGCCTCTCATGCATAACAGCATGCGTGCACCAGCGTAATAGAAAATGGCATGGACTAATCTGAGTTGGACACAGGATCGCAGTTAGGGGGAATAGTCACATGGTATTTAGATCATACAGTCTGTTTATAAAAGGTCTTGGGCACTGACACAGAAATCCTAGTTAACTCAATCTTTCCAGCTTCAGCAGCACCTTTCAGACGGAAAGGCATCTTCATTCGTGTTACACAGGAGGATTACTTCTTCCTGCCCTTTGCCCTGACACTGCGCTATGGAAATGAACCATTAGATTCACTGAGCAGCAGGACAATTGCTCACTTGTCAGACCTCATTAGGGTGGTGACATGTCGCCTTAGTTGTCACCTGCTCCGGAGACAATGGCATGTCAAAGTCCTCGGACGAAAGAGGACCGGGAAGTTCTCAAGTAAAGGCCGTGCTAAAAATCAAACATTTGGTTCTCCGGAAGACAAGTTGTCAGAGACAAAGATTATTTGTAAGGATTGTGACCTAGCCCTTGCTCGTGGCCCTCCTGTCCCTCTCCCAAGCTCAGCAGGTATTTCCTCGCTGGCCTCTGTCTGAACGATTCGGGCACTAGACCTACTGCCAGCTGAAAGGTGGTGCTGGCCTTGTTTTTGCCGATAGACCTCTGCAGCTTTTTCTTCTAAACAGAAGGAAAAAAAAAAGTCAGACTTCAAGTCTCCCCATATAAACAGTCAGCTAAAGCAAGCCATGAAGGAATTCCTGTTGCATGGACATTTCTACGGTTCTTCTTTCCACGTACACGTATGCTGTAGCATTCAGCGCTCCTCTGCCTCTGTCCCGCAGGAACTTGAAACGTTGCTCTGCTCTTTGGATGTCAGATGCAGATGGAGGTTGCCCCATTTCACAAGATGTTTTTGCTACACTTCTATGCTGTATACAAGATGTTTATGTTATACTTCTGCCTACATCTCAACTCCAGTTTACCGCTACACCCCCTTCTCACTGTCCAGGCCCCATCTCCAAGTGTCTTAGCTTACTACCCATCACTTCATCTTGAGAACATTTTCTCATATCTTTTCACTTGAAAGATCCTTCATCTCATAGTGCCCTAAAGCAACATTTCTCCTTTTAGATAAATAAAAAAGCCAAAGCAAATAAAACCTCCCTCAGTATTAAGACACATCTGCCCTGATGTATCAAGCACAGCATGTCAAACCAGCAACGGCTGTGAGTAAACGTAGCAACCACACATGTAATTTGCTCTTGCAGATTACACCATGTAAGAAAGGCCAGCTATATCTACCTAGGCTATTTTATGATGATTAGTCCCGAGCGGTAAGTGAAGTTAGCAGAGCTACAACCAGTTTAACAATGCTCGACAATCTGTTCCAGGATGCAAAGTTTACATAACAGTACTTCTTCCTTATGTACATTGGCAATGTGACTTTCTCAGCAATTATAAGAAAATTAATTCACTGTTCCTTATACTTTCTCCTGCCTTTCTTACAGTCCACACAGAAACCACAGATACCACTACTGAAACTACAAAATATGTGCTAATTTGTGCCTTTCTACAGCTTCAAAAACAAAAACCCAAACCTGTATCTGTAGTGTTACCACTGCCCAAAGACAAATTTGAATTGCAGTGAAAGATTCCCCATCTAACAGCCCCACGTTAACTTCTGATGATAAATGAAATATTCAGCTGGAGGTAAACATCTAAAACACCAGCACCGGTGGTGTGCCCAAGCAGCATCCTGGACAGCAGTCCGGGAGACGGTCTCCAATTCTGCCAGCTCTATTTGTAATTTTCCCACAGGCTAAGGATATGGCACAGGACAAGTCTCTGTGCTCTCTAGTGCCTCTAGCTACTTTTCTCTCATTTCACAAACTTTTTTTTATCTATTTGGATTCAAGGGTCTCTGAAGAAGGCATCACGTGTGGTTTCGCAGCGTCGGATCATTATTTTATTTCTTATTCCAAGAAGGGTGGGCACGCGTGCCAGAAGCTGGCCCCTTGGGAGAGCACAGCCACATGGAGTCTGGTGCCACGGACACCACTGCACACGGAGATGCGCAGATTGCCGCAACGTTTCTTTGTCACAAACAGCCAAGCTACAGCCGCCACGCGTTTAAAAACAAGACAAAAACCAAGACAGAGGCCGTTACATGCTTTGTCCTCCTTGATCCTTTTGTCACATCATCAGCTTATCAGCAGATAGCTTTTGCAAGTTTGAACCGTCTTGGGAAAAAAAAAAAAATCTTAGATTTTTGTTTCCTTTTTTCCCTCCGGCCTACCCT